ATATCGCCCGTTCCCATGTGAACCGCTGACCATGCTGAAGCAGAATCTCGCGATTCTGGGAAACTGATGTGCAAGCATTCTTATCTTCATGGGAAGAATACTTTTGTAATTCAGTTATAATTTTGCTCTCATACTGTTAACATCAATTTTTGTTAATAAAATTAATTTTTAAAAAAGGACTTTGACATCCGAAAGTTATATTTGGCGCAGTCGGTAGGATACTCGAAATTGAACGTATCGAACGTGCAGTTTTCGTTTCAACGATTTATCGGGTATCGAACTTGTTGTTTTGTCTTGTGGAGGTGTTTGTGAAGGAGTGGCTCTTCAAACCTCAAGAAACCCAATCCATCGTGGACCTTTAGCTACCCTCAACAGGCAGATCATCGGGGAGTGGAACAGAATCGTCCAGTCTCGCAAGGAAGTCTTTCTGGAAATCAAAAATCGAGGAACCAGTCGTCTACCTTATAAAGGATGCTCAAAGTTCTTACAATTTTAATGTAAGTCGTAATTTTTAAATGTCTATTGATAACTTATCTCAAATTCTTGGAAAGTTAAATTTGAATAACGAAAACCCTTCAGCTGACTCTTCAGTTTCTTTGCCTAATTCTTCTAGTAGTTCAAATATAATAATGGCTAATCAATTCAACTCAGAATACCTTAGGTGTGTGCCTGAATTCGACGGCAACCCTAATGATTTAAATAGATATCTAGCAGTTTGTGATTCAATAATTAATACTTTTTATAATGTGGCTGAGCCGACAAGCTTTCAAAATGTTTATTTGCTGAACTGTCTCATTTCAAAATTATCAGGCAATGCTAAAGTAGTAGCCAATATACAGAATGTTTCAAATTGGAGAGAACTCAAAGATACATTAACCAGAAACTTTGCCGATCAAAGGGATGAAACTTGCCTAAACAGAGACATGGTTATGCTTAGGCAATCCCCTAATGAAAAGCCTCAACAGTTCTATGATAGGTGTTTAAATATATTGAACCTATTGTGCAATTATATCGACGTTCACGAAATCACACAAGAATCTAAAAGGTGTAAAAGAGATTTATATAGCAATTTGGCATTGAAAACCTTTCTTTCTGGGCTCAAGGAACCCTTGGGTACTACAATACGTTGTATGCAACCCAAATCTCTCAGTGAAGCATTGCAGTTTGTTTTACAGGAAGACAATGTACATTACTTCCAAAATTTCTCAAATAAGAATACATTTAGACCAAACTTTCAACCTTCTAGAACACCAATTCAGATCAGACAGCCAAATTCTTCTCCTGTCAATAATTATAGTACACCAAATAACTTTTTCAGACAGCAAAATCAATTTCCTTCACAACCAATACCAATTCAGCCACGAGCACCAAGCCAACCCCAAAAATTCTTTACCAACGCGCAAGTTTTTAGACAACCATTTCAAAACAGAAATGTTTTCAGGCCCAATCAGAATCAGAACTTCACAAAACCTACACCCATGAGTGTATCCACCAGAAATACATATCAAACAAATAAACCAGTACCAATGAGTGTTTCGACAAGAAACGCCCCTAATTATCGATCAGGTCCCTCAAACTCATTTCAAAACCAACCCCAAAGAAATTTTATATCAGAGGAATTATTTAATACGGTAGTTAGTGACACCCAAAATGAACCAAATTATAGCGAACAAGAATATTACGCTGAAGAAGATTATAACGAACATTTTGACGTTATCATATATAACATTTCCGGAATATTATGACGCAAAATTTCTCATTGATTCAGGCTCCATGAAATCTTTTATCGATCCAGAAATGGCTCAAAAACTGTTTCCAAATCTAATGAGCCTTTTTCCTGAGAACATGTCACGAGAAGCAGCACTAGTAGTAGGGACAAACATAAACAAACTGTAAAACAGTGTTATTTACGTAATATTAATTTATTATTAGACAGATTTTCTAAGGTAATTTGGCTACAAACATCTCACATGAGAATGGGTTGCGACTGTGTAATCTATACTTAATTTTTATGAATATCCACAAAAAATCTGTGGGAATCATATCTAGCGGGCGTTTCTGAGGGAGACTACGTTTTCCTATCTGTGGGTTTGGATAATTGTCATTCAACCACTTTCGAAATAGCCTGTTGAGATGAGGTGGTGCCCTATCTTGCTAAAACTGATAGATAAGCCGGCGTCGTCTATTCGAATTGATCGCTAGGTCACCTGATATGACGCCCCTAGATTTTTCAGGAGATACCAATAATCTAAAGTGTGTGATACACAACCGCAGCCCATTCCAGAATTCAAGTACAGACTAAGAGGACTTGCAACAAAATTACTCCACGAACATTTCATAAAAAAAAATAATTTGCTAACAAACTTCAATATTGTTTGTATTTTGAATATTTATTGGAATGAACTGAAATGAGTTTGGATTTTTTTTGAATAAATGGTATTTACCGCTGTTTTGCAGATTATTGAAAACAGGAATTTTCCAGAATAGTCGATTTGAAAAAAGAAGTTGAAGGTGTCCTTTTGGCAACTAGTGATGTCACACTATTTTTTGGCTCATCATTAAGTTCATAAAATGATTCTTATGTAAACATTGTACTACCTTGATAATTTGTCGAAAGTACCGAAATAAGGAGACTTCTTACGTCCGCACTATAGACAATTAGTGATCCAGAGGTACACATGAATTATATCGCCCGTTCCCATGTGAACCGCTGACCATGCTGAAGCAGAATCTCGCGATTCTGGGAAACTGATGTGCAAGCAATCTTATCTTCATGGAAAGAATTCTTTCATAATTCAGTCGTAATTTTGCTCTCACGCTGTCAACATCTATTTTTGTTAATGGAATTTAATTTAAAAAAAATGACTTTGACACCCGAAAGTTATAATTGGCGCAGTCGGTAGGATACTCGAAATTGAACTTATTGAACGTGCAGTTTCCGTTTCAACGATTCATCAAGTATCGAACTTGTTGTTTTGTCTTGTGGAGGTGTTTGTGAAGTAGTGCCTCTTCAAACCTCAAGAAACCCAGTCCATCGTGGACCTTCAGCTACCCTCAACAGGCAGATCATCTGGGAGTGGAACATAATCGTCCAGTTTCGCAAGGAAGTCTTTCTGGATATCAAAAATCGAGGAACCAGTCGTCTACCTTATAAAGGATGCTCAAAGTTCTTACAATTTTAATGTTAGTCGTTATTTTTAAATGTCTATTGATACCTTATCTCAAATTCTTGGAAAGTTAAATTTGAATAACGAAAACCCTTCAGCTGACTCTTCAGTTTCTTCGCCTAGTTCTTCTAGTACGTCAAATATAATAATGACTAATCAATTCCACTCAGAATACTGGCAATCCTAATTATTTAAATAGATATCTAGCAGTTTGTGATCCAATAATTACTACTTTTTTTATAATGTGGCTGAGCCGACAAGCTTTCAAAATGTTTATTTACTGAACTGTCTCATTTCAAAATCATCAGGCAATGCTAAAATAGTAGCTAATATACAGAACGTTTCAAATTGGAAAGAATTCGAAGATACATTAACCAGAAACTTTCCGATCAAAAGGATGAAACTTGCCTAAACAGATACATGTTTATGCTTAGGCAATCCCCTAATGAAAAGCCTCAACAAGTCTATGATATATTCTATGCTCAAATGTGTCTGAACCTTTTTACGGTCATTTTATTATTTATTGTTTTATATTGTTATATTTTATATCGATTTCAACTGTATCAATGGTACTCAATGAATACTATATGTAAGGAACTTTAAAAAAAAACCATGTAAGTGGAAACCATTCTGTTTATTGTTCAGTATAAATAAAATTTCTATTCTATTCTATTCTAAATATATTGAACCTATTGTGCAATTATATCGACTTTCAGGAAATCACAGCAGAATCTAAAAGGTGTAAAAGAGATTTATATAGCAATTTGGCATTGAAAACCTTTCTTTCTGGGCTCAAGGAACCCTTGGGTACTACAATACGTTGTATGCAACCCAAATCTCTCAGTGAAGCATTGCAGTTTGTTTTACAGGAAGACAATGTACATTACTTCCAAAATTTCTCAAATAAGAATACATTTAGACCAAACTTTCAACCTTCTAGAACACCAATTCAGATCAGACAGCCAAATTCTTCTCCTGNATCATGGTATCCCCAAACGAATTATCGTTGACAACGGTACCGAATTCAATAACTTTCTCATTTCGGAACTCCTGGCTTTACACAAAGTCGAAGTTCATTTCACATCACCACACCATCCTCAATCCAATGGAATGATAGAACGGTTCCATTCTACCATTCTAGAACACATTCGTCTACTCAACACTAGAGGATTTTTGAAAACCCCTCCAAAAATGAAAATGTTGTACGCAATTTTGGCATACAACCACTCTATACATTCGGTCACAAAACTCAAGCCAATTGACATCATAAGTGGTCACATTTCAACCAATGATCCTTTCAATATTGATATTGATCGGAAATTACTAAATGATTACACCAATGATCACAAGGAACGATCGAAACTCCTCTATTCCAAAATAAACTCGGATCTAATAAAGCGAAAGGAAAAGATGGTAGAACGAGAAAATAAAAAACGCGATGATCCCATTGTATTCAAAACCAAACAAAAAGTTTATGTGAAAAAACATATTAGGTAAAAGGATGCAAATAAATTTCAAAAACCAACTCAAATCAAAACAGACGATCATACAATGAAAATAGTTTCTACAGAAGACCAACAAAAATACCCATCTCCCATTAAAAATTGATTAAATGTTCAGACTATCTGGAATTCTCGAACTCCAGGAACATATATCTAAACAAAACCTAAAGAACAATTCAGGACTTATTATTCCTCTCAAACTTGGAACAACCAAAGTCGAAACGCACACACATATTCACTTATTCATTATCATGATTTGAATCCAATAATCATGGAGGTAAATAAACTGAAATTCCACTCAAAAAATGTAAGGACACTTGTAGGCGGACACAAAGACTACTCATGGGACACATCTAACTATTTAAAAATATTACAATTTTCGGAAAAAGGGTTGACTGATAGACTCGACAATATTTTACCACATCCACTCAGAACAAAACGCGGTCTTATAAATGGCGTTGGATTAATTTTCAAGTCAATCACAGGAAATTTAGATTCCAGCCATGGTGAAAAATATGACCGTCTGATCAACGAATTACAAGATAAACAAAATTATCTAGTAACGAACATCAAGAAGCAAAACTCACTTTCAATCTCAATAATTGATCAAATCAATAGTATAGTTCAGCAAGTGAAACACAACGAAAGGCTTTTGGAATCAAAAATAAATCAAATAGCAAAAATTGTTGAAAATCAAACGTATAAAGAAAACTCCATGTTCATCTAAGACATCGTAAATCAGATAATCAACACATTTGTAATCATAAATTCAATTTTGCAAGATGTTGAAAACTCAATACAAATTTCCAGACTGAACATTATTATTTATCCTAGTATAATGAAAACAAAAGATTTGTTCAAAGAACTGCAAAAATTGAATAAAATTCAAATAGAGAGGGTTATATTTTTAGGAGTGACAATTTTTTGGGAAAGAAAGTTTTTGGCTTTCAACTACTCCATCTTGATACAAAAATGTGGGAATCTTCCAAAGAAAGGAAGGAAGTAATCAATTTTAAAACAAGTAACTCTATACATGGATGTGTAGATCATGCAAAGAAGTAACTTTAAGACACAAACTGGAAGAAAAAGCCCAGAAGACACTATTTCATAACGAATGTTTGGAATACAAACTGAGTAGAGAATAGTGTCTTCTGTATAATTCAGTGTTCATATAAAAGTATTTGTTTTTACGTGTTCTCTATATTAAACCAAGCACAGAAAGTACCCTTTCAAAACTTCATCCTTCACACATAGAATTGTTATTGGTTCAAAGGTTAAACAATTATACGACTTGTTACATTAATCCCTTCAGACATATACATAACCCATCGTTTCTGAGTATGACATTACTGGTACTGGCACATATTGTACGTAGAGTGAGGTACTCTCTGTACCTCACTCTACGTACAATATGATTATTTATTTGAAGTACTACTGTAGTCTGCTCAGAAGAATCCCAGATCTGTACAAATGAAATTAAATAATTGGTATGTTCCAATTTACAAGCTAAAATTGGCAAAAATAGTGTCTTTGTGTTTCTACCACATACGTAGTTATAGCGTTGATGTTAAAGAAATTATTGAACTGGTCATGTCATTATCCTGGAAGTTGTCTGTAGGTCCCCATCAAATGCAGTTATTTTTGAATAAAAATGCATTTTTACCCTGGCCATCTCTTGGGATTATTGGAAAAACATTGTTACGATCTTCATTCGGGTTTGAAGGCCGTCTTGGTTTGGAACTGTATCCTAATGTTTCGCCAGCACGAGTGGCTGGATTCTTCAGACCTTCTTTGGTGTATTGTTCTTATGTATGAAGCTCCGCCCCTAAGCATACCTTGAAGCTGCTGAATTCCATCCAGAAGAGAACCATCTCCCTGATTGGAGACACGAACATCTCTTGCAAACTTGATTGTCACGAACATTGAAGAGAATTTGAAGATTTGTCTTTCACGAGAGTGGTACATTTGAGTCCACC